AAAAAAAAAAACCTAGAACGGCCGTCCCTCTATTATTTTACGCCGGCCAAGAATTTCCCTTATTCCCCTTTCCTTAAATTCGGAAATTCCGTCGTCGGCCGATTTGATGATAACCGATTCGAACGCTTTATGGCCGGCGAGGAGAGAGAGATGACAATGGAGGAGCGTTTGACCACCAAGGAACGGAAGATGATTTTACTTTTTTTTTTTTAATTTTTATTTATTATTTGTGGAGAGAAAGGGGAAATTGAAAGAGTATATTTTTTTCTTTGGTAAATACAAAAATAGTAGTAAATACTACAATATAGGACGATGATTTTTGCGGGTATGTCGGGACTTAATCACGATTGTTGATTTTAAAATTATTACAAAGTCTTTTTTGAATTTCGTTTGATAATTTAATTTACGGGTATGACTTCTTACTAGGGTTGTAACCGAGTCGAGCAGCTTGCGAGCCACTCGTCAGCGCTCGCTCGAGTCAAAGCTCGGCTCGAGCTTGAGTTTGACCAAACTCGAGTCGAGCTCGAAGCGACTTGAACACAAACTCGAGTCGAGCTCGAGCTCATATTTTTGCATTGTCGAGTGGCTCGAGATATATGAAATACTAAAAATACACCTTGCATATATATGTACTTAATGGTTATTTTACAAAATTGCTTGAAAAAATAGTTCGATCATTTTGAATTCCAGTCGAGATTTATCGAGCGAGCTCGAGTCCCATAAATCGCTCGACGAGTTCGAGCAGTTAAAAAAAAAAAAAGAAAAACCAATCGTGCTCGATAAGGCCAATGATCGACTCGGCTCGGCTCATTTGCGGTCATACTTCTTACCGCAACATTGATTTTGTTAATTTGATGTTTTAACCATTTTGGTAAGTTTGGACCAATATTTATATTTATATTTATGTAATTGTTGGCTCATGAGCATTTACTAAAACCTATTAAATTATACCTATGTGACAATATAAGTTTTTTTCTCCAAAAAGCGTTACTTTTTATTTATTTAACCTTTTCATTTAATTATTAGATAATCAACACACTAATCACTTCAAAATTACAAAAATCATTTTAAATTTTTGATTTACTTAAAGCTGACCATATAATGTGTTGACTATTTACGTTATTATATGTTATTGTTGTGGTTACATTAAATTAACTTCTTTTGGAAAATAAAAAACTTATTTGAAATTCCTAAATAATTAATAAATAATTCACAAAAAAAAAGATACATACCAAAATATACATTACATCCAATATGATAAACACAATTTGCAAAAAAAAAAGAAATCAGCTCTTTTAATTGTAAATTTGGTAAAAATCATTAATCATTATATGCATACAAACTCACAATACTTTAGTTATATATCTGTGCAAATGCACAGGTCGAATACTAGTTAGATATTAAAAAATTATATACATTATTTACGCGTACTAACATTAATAGTTTTGGATACTTGGTCATATATGTGTTTCTTTATTATTATTATTATATTTAATGAAATACTTAGTCATATTAACAAAGTCACAAAGTCCATAAATTTGGATACGGAATGATACCATAGAATTATGGCGTGAATGCAGTCAACACAAGTAATGATCCAATCAACGGCTTACTTTATTCTTAGTCAATTGATTTTCAATCAAAATGAGAAATTAATGGCTACATTCTTTTGAGAATTTTTAAATTTATTTTAATATTTTTAGAAATTTTGATATATTTCAATTAGACTTTTTAAATTGATATAGTCAATTGATTTTAAGGAATTTTAGTATAACACTCGTGTATTACACGTGTAATTGTTAAAAAATTATTTTTAAATTTTTAAAATTAATGAAAGAAATTTTTTAAATTTAATTACTTTTTTACAAAAAAAATATATATTATTACATATTTTAAAATGACGTTTGTTACTTGTGCGCTTGCATATATTATATTATAGTAATTTTTCTAACTTATATCATATAACTGAAACATATATATATTAAAAAATTCTATGAAGCTATCAGATGGTTTTCTTATGGAGTCATCCACCATTTAATGTATTGACATCTGTCCAAATTATATTAATTGTAGGTCATGTGTCAATACTCAATACACTATTGGATAAATATAATTTTTTTTTACACATATAATATGGATTTTAAATCGAAACTCATTAAGAAAATGATTAATTTGATATATTATATATAAAAAACTGATAAAAAATTACAAAAGTTATTAACTTTACAATACATTTACAATTCAATGGTTATAATAAAAAAAAATATTACAGTGCAATTAATGCATATAACATGACGATAAATAATCAACATATTTATAAACAATTAAAATCTAATTATATTTGGTTTAAAAGTAAATTAAAATCGGCTCAAACCAAATAATGAAACATGTAATTTTACCACATTAAATTTCCAAGAATGCGAGTCTGCCACTTAAGTTTAACACGTTTTGAATTAATATACAAACAAGGGAATGGCCTTCTAACCAACATACAAATGGCATTGTTCGAATACTATCCCAAATGGATTATTATATGGTACACTTTATGGAAGGTTCAAAATAGTGAGACAATACATGCAGATTTACCAAGTTAGAAATGAGCATGAGATTGTACCGAGCAGTACAGATAACTCTGGAACAAGGCTGCAACAGACCATTAGAGCCTACCAGACAATATATCAAACTCGCTTCTCATAATTACAGCCACGTTGGAGGTACTGATGGTGAAAAAAAAAACCCAAAAGGAAAAGAAACAGGAAATTTTGTGAAAAATTGAACTCCTTACACAAATTTTACGGCGATACTGACGGTAATCGAGTATCGAAAGCACTAGATACAATCGACATTTATGACACTTCCTCTCGAGACTATGCTAACGGTGGTCAGCGAAGCAAGCTTTAAATACAATGGACACTTATGACTCTTCCTCTGGAGACTACTGCAGTTAGCGGTCAGTGTCATTCACTATTTTGGAGGCATTTTCTTCACAAGTGATCATATCGACCATCACAAGTGGGTCTGTGACCGATCCACGAATCTGCTCATGAAATAAGAAATGTGATGCTATTTAGAGTTCACATGGATCAATGCATGCAGGAAAAAATAGGGAAGAGATGTTTTTGCATCGTAGGCTCTTACCGTGTTGGGGAGTTCCGGAGGCCTGTGAAATAATAAATGGGCTATTGAGCGATCTATTGGATTCGTATCTGTTTCCATATCCAAGAAACTGTTGCACCCAAACCAGTGTCAGCTTTAGATGGGGAAAAGGAAAAAGAAAAAAGAATGATATTCTATGAGAAGGTTTTTAGTGTTTTCAATTGTCAACTTGTACTTTTAGTTCTCAACAATTTAGTCGAAATCTCCAGGGGCCAATTAATGTTCAATTCTGGATTCACACAAATAATGAAATAAAACACTCATTTACAACTCATCAAAGAGTTTTTCAATTTTTATTAAAGCCATAGCTTTGTATCACGAAAAACACTACCAACTCATAGTAGTCGACTAATTTTTTACTTCTGCCACAATAGTTCATTCAAACTCTTTTAGTTCAGAATAAGAATAATTTCTAGATTTAGTACAATGCATGAAGGACAACAAGCTTCTAATAATAATAAAAAAAGATTCCTCCTAAATTGTTTCATAAAACCATTCAGGAAAAGGTCTCAGGAGGAAAGAGAACTCATACTTGTTTGCCCCTGCAGGCAACAGCACTCCACCAGCATCTCTTTCAGCCCCACCAGTATCATTCAAGTTTGCATGGTTGTGCCTCTGTTCGGCACTTCGGGCCAGACGGTACAAACTGTCCCTTATGCATATCTTTGTTCTCAAATCCAGCTAGTCCAAGAATGTCAAAAGCAATTAACTCAACATATTTAAACATCTAACAAGATAGAGAACCCTTCAGTTGAGGAGTGTGAAGCTCATGAACAATCAAGAAAGCTCAATATCAATAAATAACATGGGAGAGTGTGAAATTGAAGTTCCAACTCCGAAGCCTACCAAATAAATTATCACTATTGACATTCTAAAGTTCAATTGTCCATGATCATGCTGTGGCCTGAATTCATGAAGTTGCATTTTGATGCAAAGAAAAGCCACCCAAAAACTCTTTTAAACTATTACCCTTACAAAATACACCCGAGTACTTCCAAATTTGCTGGCCCAGGAGAGTTATAACTTGGAGACTGGGCAGCTAGGGCTTGAGCACGTAATAACACATATTTGCATTTCCTCATATAAGCAGAAAAAGTAAATACGCCAATGCTATAAAGTTAAAAGCTCAATCTTCTACCTGACAATGCTATAGGGATAAAAAGAAAGTTGGTCTGGTCTTGCATAGCATTATAACACTCGGACATCAATGGACAAGATAGAATTTGCGTGCATGCATAAAACATTGTGCGATATTTCAAAGTAGATGTTGTTGAAGCTAGCATACATAATGTGGCAGCACTCAAAGTATATAGTCACGTAATCTAGTAATGTTAATTGAATATGAGAGAATATTTCCAATACCCAGCAAAAAATAATACCTGTTTCATAACAAGCTTAAGCTGTCGAAAACTGGCAGCTTCCTGCGAAACATCATCCACGCCATAACTCATTGTTGAGCTTTCATGTATATGTGAGGAACCTAACTCCGCCGGAATTAAAAGGCTCGCACCACCAGGATCACCATGTTTCTCGGATTTGTCTCCAGAATACTGTCCTTGCTTTCCTGTGAAGCCAGGTTCAGCAATGGAAACCGGCACTACAGCGGTTGCATTTTCCAAACTACCAAAAGCAGAAGATAGCCTACCTTGACGATTATGTAGCTTCTCTCTTTTTCCAGCCACGGTTGGAGCAGCCATAGGAAATTTAGGGTCATTGGGCAATTGGAAGGATGCATGGGAAAGATCTCTTGGGGATATCAAGCCATGAGCCTCAGATTTGACAGATGATGGAGCCGGATTTATCGAGGTAAGATCAGAAGAAGGGCTGTTGTTCGAGTGCACGTAAGATAGAGGGAGCTGCATTGCTTCATTGGGTAGGTCAATCGTATAATTGAAACTACCATTTTCCAAATAGGTTTCTTTTGTTTTATGGTACTGGGCCTGTAGCTTAACCTGATTTTTGTTGTTGCTGATCTGCCAAGGATAATAAATATAAATTATAAGAGGTCATACTGTTACACAGAAATGACATACCAAATGACAACCACAACCTCCTTGAGTACCGTGAAAAAAGACATACAAAATTCATTTTTACAAGAAAAAAGTTGAAACCAAGGGAAAAAATAATTCACTAACTAAATTTAATGAATCTTATTAAACGCATTCTACCACAGTCATATAATCTTAAAGGTAAACAGTATTTTTAAAATAATTGCTACAAGCCAACAACAGATCAGCTTGCTTTATCTGGAAAAGCCACACATGAAATCATGATATAAAATAACCTGTTCTTTGGGGATAAAACTATCTTTGCTGTTGACCATAGCAGGTCCATTCACAAAAGACATGTATGAATCAGATTTCTCTGAAATCCAAGAACCGTCCCCCATCATGGAAAAATCGTTGATGAAATCATTCTTGGAAGAGTCATGGCGTTGTGGATTATATTCCACTGGATTTGGCTTAGGATATGGAAACTCAAACTCGGGCTTGACTATGTCTCCAGATCCTCCTATGTTATCTGCAGATTCAAACCATCCCAGTTCGTCTTCTTTACTGGCACCAAGCCCAAATGTCGAATCACAACTACTGAGTAAAGTGCAAATTTGTTAGCAAAAACAACATGATAAAAATGAAAATCCTATTCATAAAAGAAACATGGCATTACCTAAACATCCTGTCAACATCGTCAAAGTTTCCAATTTCCGGCCAACCATAAAACAAAAGTTCAGTTGAATCTGTGTTCTCTGCATTCTCAAAAAAACTGAGATTATTTCCTGGGTGCGTAGTGTCACCAAAAGCTTTGCCAAAAGAGCTGTTATCGGTGTTCTTGTCACTAAGAGTGTTATCATCTGCACAAGTTTCATGATTCTTTGACTCAGTCTTATTGCTTTTTGAGGCATAATGAGATGATGTGGTGTTTTCTGAGGCTACACTTGATGCCTCTCTGATGGAGTTACTTTCAGATGGAGATACGCCACTTGGCGTGTTGCACCAGGAATCATTTTCCAGCATTGTGAACTTTCTTTTATTCAGTGACGGAAATCCCCTTTGATCTCTTCCCGGATGGACATACCCAACCGAAGATATATCCCCAGTACTATTTGAAAAGCTTGCTATTCCACAGCAAGGTTTCTTGTGGCTATCACCCAGAATGGAATGATCAACTGCACGTCCAGTACCAGAATGAGGAACTATATGATCATCACTGTGGCTAAAGTCATCCCAAACTAAGTCTTCTAACTGTAACAGCAGTTACGGAATTTTAGCTGTAATAACTGCATGGGATACTTCCATAAAATGAGTAAGTCAATACCAAAAATTTGAAAATTACAGCAAACTGCAAAACACAGAAAAGTTGTAGGTATACATTACGGCTTAGCTGTTTTGATTGTTGTATTACAGGGTGAAGAAGTTCGAGTATCAAAGAACTAGCTGAAAAAATGCAGTCTAACTTCAAATTCAAATAAGTATACAAACTCTAATAGTAAAATGCAAACCTTGGAAAGGCAGTTAATCAAACAATAACTAATTCGTCTGATTCTCCTTTTAAATGTGTTCTATATACCATTGGCAAAGCATTTGACCAGTTCAAGTCTTGGAATAATTAGCTTGCCTAAGCATTAGACAGTGCATGCAACATGTTCCGGCCTAGGTTAAAATAGGTGCCAAGGGCTTAAGAAACCAGGAGCAGATTCACACTATAAGCAAGATAGTATATTGCTAATATATATAATCGAAAATGAATCTTGTGGGTTCTAGAGAGAGTCATAGAATAATTAGCCTGCCTGAGCAGTAGCCAATACATATAAAATGTTCCAAACCCAAGTTAAAATTAGTGCCAAGAGCTTGTGAACCAGGAGCACTATTACCCTACAAGCGAGACATTTAAAAAACCTCCCCACTAAACCACACATACTGTTTGTCAATATTACACAGGTTACAAATTGATTCACAAATCCAGCGTAATTCAATGGTTAAAACTTGCAGCACAGGGGTGGAATTCATACCAAGTATAATCTATCAGTTGGTGTGCTAAACACAAATTTGTTATTACGACTAGAATATATAAACCAAATTTCGATATCTTTTCAAATTGTACATGCTAAAGTGGAAAAATCAGGTTTCATTTAAATATAATTTTCTACATACTAATTACTTTCCGCGCTGCTGAGTTAAAGGGTAAGTGGTTCTTATAGTTTTGAGGTGCAAATGCCAATTATCTATTACATTGGCCTGTTATAATTTTGAAATATGTGTTTCTTGACAAACATGCATATGGAAATCTATGGCAGTTTATCAATGTCATTTACTAAAGGACAGTTGACCTGTTCAGCCAGATATCTAATGTCGACATTGAAACAGAGGCACACTCTCCCAAAGGATGTATTATCAAAGAATAACAACCACGCATTACATGTGATGGCATCATGGCAAACTTCTTGTGCCATTACAATTACATTGTCAAACAACTTTTCAAATTTCATAAACTTCCATATCAGATATAGATGATTCTATAGATAATTCATTAATAAACACATGTAAACAAATGAGTGACCAAACTTTAACTAAGCAAAATAACCTTTCCAGTTTGTCTAATATAGTTTGGAAATAGGTATCCAAATAACCAGAAGAAATAAAAGTAAATAATGATAATAACAATTATCCTGAGTATATATTGCAATAACAAGTTCATCTGCATTTCTATTAGTCCGCAGGCATGCATGACAATTGGAAAAACAGAACTTACATCATACAAGCACAAATCAGACATTCCTTCTCGAATTCAGCCAGGACTCGAACTGTGTGAAGTGTACTTCATGTTCATATACAAATCCTTCCTTGACCTCCGATCACGAAATCCACCAAAACAACAAGTAAACGAAACAAATAATATTAGAAGACAATAGAGTTAAATCACCAGGAAAAATTGAAGTTGACTTCATTGACCATTTAACAAAATCTGTCTTCCCTTCTACACCAAATTTCATAAGTCCATTTCCAACAAATACAACCACTGAGAACATATTAAGTCACAAGAATGAGAATAGAGCTCGACTGACTCACAGGCCACAGGTTATCTTGAACTAAATTCAGAACAAGATTCACAATTTATAACCACATACCAAAAATGTAAAAAGACAACCAGAGAATTTATAGTTGCCTCAAAAAAAAAAGTTCAACCACACCTTACAAACATGAATCTCAACGAGTCCGAAAAATATCACAACCCAATTAAGTTTCTCACCTGTTGTGATGAGGAAATAACAACAATATAATAGTAACAACAACAACAACAATAACAATAACACCAGTCAGATTTACTTCAACCCTAGAAAGAGCGAACAATTTTTCTATCAGCAAGCGAATCAAACTGTCTAAACAAAAGTGGAAACAGCTCGGACAGACAGCTGTACTCCGCTAACTGAATCTCGCCGGAGAACTCACCGGAAAAATCGTACTCGGCGAGAAAATCCTTAAAATTAGACCGGAAATGAAATCACGCGACTTCAGTTTCAGCAGGCAACCCTAGCTCTGATCCTTCGGAGTCCCAAATCTAGGACGCTCTAGAGAGATAAAATATTTTTCTATATGAGCTTTAGCAGAAGAAAATGTTCTTTTTTTTTCTTTTTTTTTTTTTTTTTTTTTTTTTTTTTTTGTGCGTGGGGAAATTATAATAATCATTTATAATATTGATTTAATTTGAGTCACGGAGGGACCGCCACGTGGCAAGCGGATCAATATATGGGCGGGCCAAGGGTTTATGGGTATCACAACTCGTGGACGAGAGATCGGGCCGTGATGCGATCTCTTTCTGCTTTCTCATTGGTCGACGTTACCTTTCGGATTCGAGGATCCGACCCGAATGGCCTGACCAATAGCTGCGCTGCGCGTACGAACCTTAGGTGTCGACGTGTTATTGGGCCTAAGGTCACGCGTGTTGCTATTGGGAGCCTAGTTGAGTGATGGGTCTTTGTCGTCATTAAGTTAATATTTTATTAAAAATAAAAAATTTTGTAGTGCTCTTTTAAATTAAAGTTTACTAGTACAATACCCGTGTGTATTACACGTATGCTTGTTATATTTTTTTTTTTAAATTTGAAATTATTAAAGTTATTTAAATTTGTAATACTACTTATAAAAAATATATATTATTATATATTTTCAAAAGACATTTGTTACTTGTGCGACTTATCTGTGTTATATTATAATAATTCTTTTAACTTATAACATACAACTACTTTAAACATGGATATATTAATTGAGAAATAATTTTATTTTTCTAATTGATATTAATAAATAATTTTATTATATTTATACAGATAAATATAATTTATTTACTTATACATACAATATGGATGTCAATTCGAAGCTCATCAAAAGATGATTAATGTGATATATTGTATATGTAAAATCGATAAGAAATTCAAAAGTTATCAACTTTTAAAATACATTTACAATTCAACGGTTTATAATAGGAAATGATATTAGAATCTATACTTATATTATAAGCAAACATATTTACTA